TTGAGAATACCCGCCACAGATTTACCTGGATGGCTTTTTATGAGCGCTCAGGTGAAGGTTTTCTGCAGGTTTTCTGATCATAGATCATAAACTTCTACATTATCTTTAATAAAAATAATATAAAGTTGTTCAGTAAAAAAAAAAAAATCTGCAAGAACAGAAATGTATCATGATTCTTTATAAAATGTGTATTAACACGATATAAAAGAGAGAAAAATTAGATAAAGAGGGAAAAGGTTCATTTAAAAGGATCTTTTCAAGAGAAAAAACTTTCATAAAAAATATTCACTTTCAGATCAAATTAACTGTTTCTGCTACAAATGAGGGGCAGATTTGACATGGAACATAATCAAATATTTTTTTTAACTAGCTTCTAAAAAGCTATTTAAAGTGAATAGTCTTAAACCAGCTTTGAGAACGGCCTGCTAACAGCTGCTTACAACTGTTAACAACTAGAAGAGGCTAAGAGATAACAGTTAACAACTAAAAACAGCTAACAGCTAACAACTGCTAACAACTAAAAACAGCTAACAACTGCTAACAACTAAAAACAGGTAAGACTCAACAGCTGCTAACAGCTAACAGCTAAAAGCTAACAGCTGCTAACTACTAAAAGGAGCTAAGAGCTAACAGATGCTAACAGCTAACGACTAAAAGCAGCTAAGAGCTAACAGCCGCTAACAACTTAAAGGAGCTAAGAGCTAACAGATGCTGACAGCTAACAACTAAAAGCAGCTAAGAGCTAACAGCTGCTAACTACTAAAAGCAGCTAAGAGCTAACAGCTGCTAACTACTAAAAGGAGCTAAGAGCTAACAGATGCTAACAACTAACAACTAAAAGCAGCTAAAAACTAAAAGCAGTTAACAACTTTAACAGCTAACAACTAAAAGCAGCCAGACCAGCTCATTTCCCCTAAAATTATTGTGATCACCAATATTTCTATTTATTTGGCCGAATTACTTGGAAGTGTAAAAGAAAAACAACCAGAGAAACAGGCAAAATAAACCAAATCTGCTCCTGATGATGCCAAATGACAGAAAAAGCATTTTAAAATTCATCTATTTGCAGCTTTTACGGCTATTTTCTGGTTGTAAAAGGAGGCCAAACCAAAGGGAATCATTCGCTGTGATCGGGTGGAAAAGGAGGAAAGCACCTGAAAAAGGGAGGACAAACCTGTCCAGGCTGTAGAGCGTGTGCGAGTTCCTGACGACGGTTTCCACCCCGAACTCCTGCGCCATCTTGATGATGGCGGCGTCCCGCTCCTTCCCGTACGGCTCCGGGTCGAACTCGAAGGTAAGCCGGGTCACGTTCCACTCCTGCACACACGCCGGGTTATTGGCCCGAGAACGCTTCAGGATTCTGCCCAGAGGGGCTCGAATCCAGAAAAACGTCAATGGGAAACACAATATACCAGGAATTGGATTAGAACAGGGGTCTTCAAGGTTTTCCAGGCCAAACTGATGGAGGGGGACCCCCTAATTATATATATTGTATTAAATTGGGTTCTATCAAACTGGTCCTATAGTGTGTAAATGTCCATTGTTATTGGGCATTCAGTACTAAAATCCTCAGATAATCCAGAATAATACAGAATACACAATACAATACAATACAGGAAAAGGCAGAAAAAGGTAAAAAAAAGATGAAAAAGGTAGAAAAACTGCAGACAAAGGCAGAAAAAGAGCAGAAAAAGGCATAAAAACAGCAGAAAGAGACAGAAAAACTGTAGAAAAACAACTGAAAAAGTCAGAAAACAGCCCTAAACCGCCTAAAAACAGACTAAAAACAGTGTGTAAATGTAGCTGGTTATTTGGCATTCAGTACTAACATCTTCAAATAATCCAGAATAATAAAGAATACACAATACAATAATACAGGAAAAGGCAGAAAACAGCAGGAAAGGGATGAAAAAGGTAGAAAAACAGCAGAAAACGAGCAGAAAAAGGCAGAAAAACAGCAGAAAGTGCCAGAAAAACTGTAGAACAACAACAGAAAGAGACAGGAACAGGCAGAAAACAGACTAAAAACAGCCTAAAAACAGTGTGTAAATGTCCCTTGTTATTGGGCATTCAGCACTAAGATCCTCAGATAATCCACAGGTTGATATCTTCCTGTTTTTACTGTAAACATCTGGTTCTGGTATCTGGTTGGTGGGACAGGTGTTGTGAATGAAACGGGGCCCAGCCTGAAAGAGCTCCTGAGTGATAGATAGATAGATAGATAGATAGATAGATAGATAGATAGATAGAT